GATTTACTGACTTATGAAGATCTTCCAGATGCTGAAACATCGCATAATATAGTGTAAAAAAAGAAATCACATCGCCATTACCACCATGATCTTATTGGAACACTCTTTAAAGCTGTCAAGACCCACGGTAATGAATACAAGTTTTCCAAATTCTAAGATTCACTTGAAAAATTTTACCACTGGGCAGCAAACGCTATCAGCTGTTTTCCATGAAATGACAACTCATTTTATGGGGCCAGAAATATGCTGATACAACACCAGATAAAAGCAATGCAAGACAACGGCAGACTGATACCCACGAAAACACAGACACAAAAATGCTCAAGAAATACTAGGAGATCCAGTCCAGCAACGTATGAAAAGGCTGATACTCCACAACCAAATGGGACTTACCCTGGGAATGCACATTTATTCAACATATTTTTAAAAAATCAATGTAGTCCATCATATTAACAGACAAAGAAGGAAAACCACATGGTCATATCAAATGACACGGGTAAAACACTGGACAAAATTCAACACCATTCATGATTCAGACAACAACTCTCAGTAAACAATAAGGGAACTTCATCAGCCTGACACAGGGCATTTGCAAAAACCCACAGCCAACCCCATCCTTGATGGTGAAAGACTGAATGCTTTCCAAGACCAGGAACAAGACAAGAATTTCAAGCGATCTACAGAAAGCATCTAGAGGTAACAAGTGAGAAACACAGTCGTCGAAAATCAACATATAAAAGTCAATCATATTTCTATATACCAGCAATGAAAAACTAGAAACAAACAAACAAAAATGTAAATACTATTTACAATGCCACCAAAAAAGGGGAAATAAAACATGTGAAGGATCTATATGCTGAAAACTGTACAATGCTGATGAAAGAAACCAGACCTAAGAAAATGAAGACACATCATATCTGTGGATTTGAAGACTTGATACGGGTAAGAAGTAAATTCTCCTCAAACTGACCTATAGGTTGAATACAATTCCAATAAAAATTCCAGTAGGGTTTCCGGTAGATATAGACAGGATTATTCTAAAATTTATACTGACGGAAAAAATAGCTAGAATAGAAAAAACAATTCTGAAAAAGAGCAAACTTGCAGGACTCATATTATCCAATTGTAAGACTGACCACAAAGCTGCCATAATCAAGACAGTGTGGTACTGGTGAAGGAACATACACATCACGGAACAGAAGAACAGAGAGCCCAGAAATGCCCTGCAGTTACGGTCACGGGACGAAGGCAACCCAGCAGGCTAAGGGTGGTCTTTAACTAACAATGTTGGAAACTATTCCAACTCAACAATCCCCATCTCAAGTTCCACTTTGTGAAATGATCTAAAATTTTTTTTTAAAAAGGATAAAGTGACACAAAAATCACCTACTTACTTTTCATTAATTTTCCAGACAGTTCCTTTAGTGGAGAGGAGGGACTATTTCTACTGGCTACTGTCAGTCTGGAGGACTCCTGGGTGTCTGTGGAACTTGGACGAGCCCCGGTTCTGGCCATTTCCAGGTGGAGAGGAGGAGCACTGTGACATTCCTGGGAGAGCAGCAAGTGATTCTGAGTGTTGCTAGTTCTGGAGTTCAAGTCAGACTCTTCCGATGGAGTCAGAGGCAATGGTGCTGAGCGAGAATCCTCCAATCGCTTGTCAAGAGACTCGGCGACAAAAGCTGCTGTTGTTTCGTGCTTTTTAGATGGAGAGACAGGCTCAGCCAATGAGCTCTGCTTAACTGTGTTCAGACTGTGTGCTCTTATTCGGGACCAAGTTGTAGAGTGAAAACTCTCAGCTTCTAACCAAAATTTAACTAAATGCTCCATTCTCCGAAGTTCCATGAACTGAATGAAATAAGGGAGGACAGCAGTGTCACGCAGGACTTGTTCAAGGGTCTTTGAAAGACTTGATTTGGTCTCTTGAGTCTGGTAGTCCAGACAAGATCTGCCTAAAAGAAGCAGAAGAATTAGCAGTTCAGTAACAGATAACAATGGTCCAAAACTTATTAAAAAGTTACTCAGTTAACCCTGATCATTCTTTTAATGGCAACTCAGACCACGTAAATTCTTAAGGAAAACATCTTACATGATACTAGCTCCAAAGAAAAAAGGCCAATAAAATATGGAAAAAATTTCAACCTCACTAAAAATTCCAGAAAAGCAAATCAATGCAAGAGCATTTTTCCTGTCAAATTGGAAGATTTAAAAAAAAAAACAAGAAGCACTAACAAGAGCACAGCAAAACAGGTAACAGGCTCAAGCCACTGACAATGGAGCCGTAAACAGGCAAGACCCTTCTGGAGGAGCGTTCAGTAACGACGGGACGGCCTCGGCCATCCGCACAACTTTCAGTCCAGTGGCTCCACTTCAGGAACCCACCCCGAGGAAGAACTGTGGATGTGTGGATACAGCTGGAAAGATGTTATCAACTCTTCAGCATTATTTATAACAGAGTAAAGAGTTAGCTCTGGGATTTTATCTTGAAAAATAAAAACTAAACTTAATAAAACATAATAAAAGTTTATTTTATACTTAACTAAATTTAGGTTATAACCACAAGCTGATTATTAGAACAAAGAAAAAAATAAAAAAGTTTTAAATGTTCACAGCATGATGTAAAGAGGCTCATTTTCATAAAATCAACTGGGGGCTTCATCAATTCTTCAAAAGGGCTTTTCTTAACCTTTTGATGTTTCTTCTGAAGCACTTCGTGGATCTCATCCTTGCTGGCTATCTTATTGTCAATGTCAACATCTCTTTCATGAACTGCAGGAAATCTTGATCTTTGCAAGACTTAATTTTTTTTTAAATTAAACTTTTAATTTTGAGATGATGGTGGATTCACACACAGCTGTAAGGAGTAATACCGAGAGCTCACATGCACACTTTATCCAGTTTCCCCCAAGGGTAACATCTTTCAAACCACAGTTCAATATCACACCAAGATACTGACACTGATACAATCCACCGATCTTATTCAGATCTCCCCAGTTTTAGTAGTACTCATGCGTGTGTGTGCACAGTTCTATGCAACTTTATCACATGCACAGATTTGTGTAAACACCATGAAGACAGAACAGATCCAGTAACGTAAGGGTCCCTTGGGTGGCCCTTCATAACCAACTCCCACATCCCAAACCTCTGGCAAACACTGATGTGTTCTCCATGTCTATCATTTTGTCATTTCAAGAAGGGACTAACACCTGTTGGCATCATCCCCTTGATTGAGCCAAGTTGTCCTGTGTATCAGCAGTTTGTTCTTCTCACCTCGCTGAGCAGTGCTCTGTGACACGGAGGTACCAGTGTTTAACTGCTCACCTGCTGAAGGATATCCAATTTTTAGCTTTCACGCTGCTATGAACATTGGTTTTTTTGTGAACATAACTTTCCATTTTCTGGGATAAATGCCTAAAACTGCAACTGCTGGGTCACATGGTAATTGCATGTTTAGCTTTATAAGAACCTGCCAAACTGTTTTCTAGGGTGGCTGTGCCATTTTTACATTCCCACCAGACAGATGAGTAATCCAGTAAAACTTACAATTTTACTTTGTGACCAACACGGATGTCATTTGCAGCATACGGCCGAGCGTGACCCACCAAGACTTTGACACCTTGGCTTTGAATACATACAAAATGTTAAGCAGGCAGAGAGAGGTATTGAAAGAGGAACTAATTGTATTAGAATTTAATCCATTCATGGATTTTTTTCAATTTGCGATAAAGTGACACACAATTTCTATACGTGCAGAAATGTGGGCAACAAATGTTCAGAAAACAAGGACCTCTGTGTACCCTTTTTCAGGGAGAGGGAGGAATTATTTTAACATGACAGAGACCCTGCTGTGTACAGCACGAGGTGACCAGCTCTCCTCCCTTGAGCGTACCTCGACGTCCTCTTCAGACTTCTAAATGGCTACACAGCGCCGCAGAGAACGGCTGCATCACAACTTTACTTCCTTGTTGATGGATATTCATACGTTGCTCCCAAGTTTTTGCCATCATACACAATACTGCAATCGACAGCCTTCTGCGTGTACATGCGTTTTTGTGCACATATGGGAGCATATCTGAGGGCTAGATCTTATATTTTATTTTTGATAAATACTTGCAAACTGTCTTCCAAAAAACTGTTACCAAATTAACACCTCCACTAAACAGGAGTGGCTCATTCTCTGCATCCACATTAACATTCAATTATCAAACTAAGTATCTGCTGATGTATCAGGGGGAACGTTAACTCATCATTTTAATTTGCATTTCACTGAGTACTAGTGAAATGAAGCATTTTTTTCATATATTTAGTAGCCAGATATATTTCTTCTTCTGGAAATGGCCCATTTTTCTGTTGGGCATGTTATTTAAATTTACACAACATGATACCATCCGTTACACTCAGAGCTGTTATTTCAGTTTAAACATGTTTTTTCAAAGCCCAGTCCCTCCGGCAGGAGTTTCACACACCATACTCAAATCCCTCCTCCTACTGGAAGTTAACAAGCACAGAGTCACTTACCCAGGTCCCCAAAATGAGCGGCCTCCATGTGGCTTGGCTGTTTCTTAAGTGTCGCGGTCCTGCTACTTGAAAAGGAGTCCATGTTGGCGGAAATGGCATTGATTGCAACGTGACTTGGTCCTGCAGCCTCCAGCAAGGCATGATTTTTAGTGCTTTTTTGTGGGGAATGTACGGAGATTGAAGCTATAATTTTTCAAAAAATTATTAAAAATTAAACACAAATGATAGCCTAAAACTGTCTCCTAAGGGAACTTTAAAAATTCAATTTTGTAACACTTAAGTACATACACTCAACAAAAAATACTTAGGGAAAAGATAAATTAACCAAGCAGCAGAAAATTGGAAAACACCCTACTATTATTTATAAATCTCAAAATACTGTGCCAAAAATGAAACTTAAGAGAGATCTTTCTTTGAGAACGTTCTCTTTGAGAACTTTTGAGGATAGAAAGTACCAAAGCCAGCATTCTGAAACACGGACCTTTCTCAATTCCTTAATCCTTCTTGCCGAAGGAACAAAACTAAAATCGCAAAATAAAAGCTTAGGGGGAAAAATTAGAAAAATATGCTTCAGAATAACTTATTTTACTTTTTAATTGAGTAACAAAATCTCACCATCTAGTAAAACATTTATGATCAGAGTTCAATGAATTAATAGGAAATAATCAACTCCATACTACAACATGGTCAAAGAACCCTATGAACTTGTTGCTACAGCTGAATTAAAATTCCACCTATTCAATTTATCCCACAGAAATATCAGAGACTCTTCTTAAAGGTTTTTTAAGAAATTTCAGATTAGCGCGTTGCTATAGCAAGAAGGCTAGAAAGGATACAGGTCACTTAGCATTCCACACCCTCAACATAAATACTCTGAGATAACTGAACTTGTGCCTGGCGCCACTTGTTTTACTGAGCAGTTAACAGGTAAGCTGAAGTGCTCTCAACCTGAGCAAACAGTTCCTGGACACAGAGTCTGAGTAATCCCACGCAATATTTCCTATGGAGAATACATGGTGGTGTAATTCAATCTATTCCTCTGAGATGTGTCTACAGGATGGAGCAGGTACACACATCCATACCTGTTTTCCAGGCATTTATTAGTCTATCATGCAATAAAGCTGTCTTTAAATAATTTTTTTCAATTACATAAGGAAGTTTTCTTTGGTTTTCATTTTTATGATATACTGAATGCAGCAAAATCATTTTGGTTTTTTATAATTGGTTTATAAACAATAATATCTAGGGTTTTTTTTGGCAGAGACAAGAAACTACAAATAACATTCTATAAGAACAGTGAGGTTCCCTAAGTGCCTCCTAATTAGATGTGGATGATGGTGTGAAATACCGTGAATTCCTTTGTGCAGGCTTCCTTCCTCCTCCTTACCTTCTCTGTTAGAATGATTTACTTCACATGCTCCTTCCTGACATCCCACCTTCCCAGGTCTCCGTGGCCCTACCCTCCACGTACCTCTTCCTCGCCCTCTGCTCCCCCTCTCAGCCTTTCAGAATCCATTTATTAAATGTGTCAGGTATGGCCTCCTTCCATGAGCCCTCTTCTTCTGCAGGTTCTCTGTTCTTTTATTCTTTCTGCTACAAAGCACATTTATTCTCAAGCCTTCAGTTATTACTAGAGCAATCTTCTTCAAACTTTTTTTTAGCTGTAGGCTCCCCCCACTCAAATAAACTTAAGTGGGACCCTAATATGTCTGTAAATCAGACAGAAGTCCAGGTAAAATAGATATCTAAAATCTAAATGGTTATCTAGAATAGACAAAACAGAGTTAATACTAACTCCGGCTGATTGCAGGGGAAAGCCTCACGCACACCCTGGCCATGGGCCTCTCAGCGACAGCCCCGATGGCACAGCTCTGTGGACTGGAGGCCAGGTGCGAACCCCGACCTGCATCTCAGGCTGACCTCTGAGCTGGGATTCAGTCTCCTGTCTCTTTTATTTGCTACTAGTCATCCTCACTTAGACTTTACGATCTCAAGACCAGTTTGTCCAAATGTCAGACTTCCCACATTCTCTTCCAGACCGAGTCTCCATCTTTAACTTCCCTCTCTCTGCTCAGCCCACTGGTCCCCAAAGCTCAAAATCTGTTGACTTTTTCTTCAAGATACTCACCTGTTTATTCTCAACACCACACCCTTAGTACAGATTTTTCTGTGTTACAGAAGAAGCACTTCTAGGCCTCCACCCTATGTAACTCGCCTTTCACAAAGGCCATATGTAAAGCACCAACATCCTGTTCAAAAGCCCAGAGTGACTCCCCGTTTTCTCTCAACTCTCTTTTCTGGTCCTTAAGACCCTCTACATTCTGATCTTAATCTATCTGTAAAAATTTCCCTTAACTAGTCTGAAGGTCCCTCTGCCCAGTACATACTCAAGAAATAAGAAGCTGGGCTGGTAGGGGAAAAAGAGAAAGAATCAACTCTTCCGTTCAAACCCTTCCTAGTGTTCCCACCGGTCAAGTCTCACTTCTACGAAGTCTTCAGACACCATTTGCTGAGCTCAAACTCCCCCAAACTCCTTGTGATACTATAAACGCCTCTGTTGAAACGAGACAGTAACAGCCCCCAATGTACCATCTACTATGTACCAGGCACTGTACTGGTTTTTTTATTTCACTTATCTCTCACAACAATCTTGCAAGACCAGTGTTTTCCTCATTTTGGAGATGAGTACACAAACAGAAAAAGGTAAGTACTTAGTCGTAGCCATAAGTCAAAGACGCAGGAGTCACTTCAAGAGGCAGGATTTCAACCTTGGTCTGCTAGACTCTAGAAAGTCACTCTCTTATCTTTGGTTAAAAACTCCAACTCTAGAGTTATCGTGGGGACAAGGTAACACATGTATATCAGTCTCAAAAGCACTTCCCACCTCACATCCCAAAACTGAACATGTAATTTCCCAGCTGGGCTCTGCACCAGTCACAGCGTTAGGTAAGCAGAAAGGTGGGTATTAACCTTAACCTTCTCCCCCCATACCTTACATTTAATCAAGAACAAAGCTCTGCCCATTTTGTCTCCTCAATCATCTGCCCAGGTCTCTTTATCTCCATCACTGCTGGCCTCACCCAAGCCATCTGTGGAATCACTGGATTAATGCTGCTCCCCCACCAAACTGTAAGGTGGAGGAGGGCGGGGCCTGGATCTAAGTCTTTTCTTAGCTACAGCCACAGTTCTGGCTAACGCCTGGAACAGAAGAGGTGCTCAATAAACCAAAGCTGTCACTCTTTCGGTTCACCTGCTGCTGCTCTAAGCTCGTCCTTCTAATCAGACTGCAAACTTCTTGAGGGCCTGCGTCCTCTGCTGCTTCTGTCTTATTCTGAAGTCAGTGAATGCTAAGCACAGACTGAGGACTGTCACAAACAGAACAAGCAGGGACTATTTTAGCCTGGTACACACTCAGAGGTTAGGTAGGCCAAACCCCCCCGTCTTACAAAGGAGGGAAGTCCCACGGCTCCCTAAGGTCCCACCGTCAGAGGCAGAGCTTAGAGCAGAAGGCTGGTGTGCCCCAGGCATCAGCATGCCTTCCTTCCACTAGCCTAGTCTCCACAAGCCTCTGCTCACCGAGGGCTTTGAGCCTTTACCAATGCCAATCAAACTCTGCTTAAAGAAGGCAGTATGAATGACATGGAACCCAACCGGTTTTAAATGATCAGAAATAAGCAGGAAATAAGGCTGTAAACCACCCCACTTCTCTAATCTCACAAGTCTCCTAAGTTATAATTAGTGTCTCTCAGGCAAACTGAGCGTATGGGGTTAATATTCAACGCTAGCTACACAACATATAAACACTTAAAAAAATGTAAGCAGCAATCTATAGATTTCATGTAAACAAATTACATTTATGAAGTTTATATATAATGGATATAGGAATAATTTTCATTGTAATTTTCCCACTCCAGTTTTGTGCACTGACATAATGAAACCTCTCAAAGCTACAGCAGGGATTCCAACATGAAAAGGCACGCTCCTCCCCATAGATAAGGATGTGTTCCGAGTAAACGTGAAGGCCACGCATCCAAAGTAATAAGGTAGTGGAACTGTAAGCCTCACGCTTCCAGACAGACCACGGAAAACTAGGCTTCTCAGGTCAGTTGTCAGGCTGCTCAGTAAAGAGTATTGCTTGCTTTTTGTTTTTTAAAATAAAGTCAACCAACCACTTTTAGGGAACAATCAGATGTGTGACTCACAAGGAGGACACTGGTTCACTGCAATCACTGGGGCAGCCAACAAGTGCGTGTTGGTGAGAGGTTACAATATGCTGGTGCTGAAGAGCATATAAACTAACAGGGAAATAAGTCACAATCACAGGTGATTATTAAAGAAGGCAGAATAGCAGGATTAAAGAGCCCATCCCTGCCAAGCGCTGACTCACCTTTAACTGACTTGACATCGGAGGTCTTGTCTTGTTCCTTGCCTTTCACTGGAAGGTAAGAGAGCATTATGATCAACTTCCACAGTCAGAAAGTTCCATTCCACACACTGTAAAGGTCAGACAAGCTTCATTCTAACAGAGGAGTGTTCAAAGTTCCACAACAATGGACTAACTGCCTTGGGGGGGGGGGCAGAGCAACCGTCAGGGAAGCTTCCCTCAGGAAGTGACCTGTGAACAGCATTTGGTCACTGAGTGCCTAAGGAGAGACAGTGTCGGAATATCTGGGTTCAAATTCTGGCTCTGCCATTCCATAGCCCCGTGAGCCTGGATAAGTTACCTTAATTTCCTGAGTCTCAGTTTCCTTGATTTATGAAACTAGGTCACTGTTACAAGCTAGGAAAGAATCATTTCAACAGGGAGGATTTCAACCGCGGTCAGCTAGACTCTAGAAAGTCACTCTTTTACCTTTGGTTAAAAACTCCGCCTCTAGAGTTACTGTGTGGATAACACATGTAAGTGGATATCTCAAAAGCACCTCCCACCCCACATCCCAAAACTGAACATGCTGTTTCCCAGTTGGGCTCTCCACCGGTCACAGTGGAGACTTCCTCAGAGCGCTACAGGTGAAAAAATAAATACTTGTAAAGGGCTTAGAAGAGGGACTAGGACATAGGAAATTTAGGACATTGTATGATATCATGACCACGTGCCACTGACTACTGGATGCGTCCTGAAGAAAAAGACAGGCTCTTACTTACTGGGTATTTCCACCACAGCATCAAATACAAACATTTGAAAACTTCGAGTACTCAAGGTTTAACAACTGTCTCTTAAAAAATTATACAATCCCTCCTTCATTACATAAAACACTGGAAATTCTAACGCAGATATACTAACATCCAAGAAGGAAGGTGCATGGCAGCTTAAGCCAAGTGTGAACCTTACAGAATCTGACACAAGACTATTTTTAACCCACTTTACTTTTTTTGTGTCAAATTCTGGGCTCCTATCCACCTGGAATTCATTTCTGTATTATCAGGGGCTGGCGGACTACAGCCCAAGGGCCAGATCCAGCCCACCGTCAGTTTTTTGCAGTGTATACATATGGTCTGTCTGTGGCCACAAGGACAGAGCGAGACAGGCCACAGAGCCTGCAGAGCCTAACACAGTCACTATCTGGCCTTTTACAGAAAGTCTGCCTACCCCTGACATACATAACAGGGGGAAGGGAGGAAATCGTAATTGTTTTTCCTTTTTTTTTTTTTTTTTTTTGCCAAACGGATAACAAACATCACTTACCAATTATTCCAACTCTTCCCAACTGAATAAGAACTCTACATGCCAAGTTCCCATACAGATCGAGGTCTGTCTCTGGGCCTACTGTTGCAATTACTTAACTACATAATAAGCCTCTGGCAGAGCCAAGTCCCCGGTCATTCCTTTTTCAAAAGTACCTTCCATATTAACTATAGGACCAACTTCCTGACCCTAAAACCCCCATGGCAGGTTCTTTTTAAATAGCACTGGCTTAATGACTAATATGGGTGAAAGTTCACATCTTTCTGGTAGGGAGTCTTTCTATTCACGAACATAGTACACCTCCACTTACCTGGGTCTCCCTTTATGTCCAATTACGTTTTGTAAACTCCATAAAGATTTCACAGTCTTTTGTCTATACTGGCATACTGGGATACAACTGAGTTTTAAATCCTTGTTCTATGGTGTATGTGCAGATTTTCTCGAATCTTTTATACACAGTCATATTATCTATGAATAATGGCTCCTTCCCTCCCAAATTCCCTTTCCCTCCCAAAACTGAACTCTTCCATCTTTTTTTATGTGTGTGTAATTGTGAAGACTGTTAGCTTTCTTTTTGCTTATATATCCCTGATACAGTTTTCTATCCTTTTACTTTGAACCTTCCCGAGATCTTTTTAACATCTAAACAGACAGAACAAGAATCTAACGTGAAGGCTGCCATCTTTTTATTGCCTGGGTCAGTTCATTTCTGTATATGGTGATCGCTGCTTTTTATTTCTAAAAATGAACATTCTTAAAGCTCTAACTACAACTATGAATTTGTTGACTTCTCCTGGTAATTCTGTATATTTTGTTTTATGTATTTGGAGACTAATTTTCAGTACAAACCAGCTCAGAATTTTATCTTCCTAGTACCCTGCTCATTTTATTGTAATGTACAGACCTTTTGAGCCCCTAATAACATTTTATGCTTTCAAATACTTCACCTACCAAACAAGCTTTCTTCTGGTCAATATTTGCCTGGTATATCTTTTCCATTTATTTTCAATTTCTCTGTGTCCTTATGTTTTGGTTGTACCTCTGGTAAATAGCTTATGGCTGGATTTTGGTTTATTATCCAACCTGAATCTTTATCTTTTAGCCCACTTATATGGACTCCTGCTAGATTTTCAGCCATACAGATTTTAGTCTATTTACATTTATTGTGATCACTCATCTATTCAGGTTTATTTCTGCCACATTATTTTATACTACTGACTTCTCCTTTTTGTGTATTTCTTTTTATTATGAAACATTTAAAACATAAAGGCAAGACTGCACTTTAATATAAGGAACACTCGGGTTTAGCAAATTTTAACATCATGCCATTATTTGCTTCAGAAGAATTTTTAAAAGAAATAAAACATTGCAGGTACAACTGAAGTCCCTCCCTGATCTCATTCTCCCCTCCCTAGAGAAGGCAGGAACGAGAAGCTTCTCATTCTCTAGAAAAGCAATCTCATAAATTGATATTTATGGTTTCCATCCACATTTTCACTCCATAAATGTTTGTATCCATAAATAATATAAGGCATTGTTTGAAGGTTTTTAAACTTGTATATACAAGTGGTTGTACCAATTGTCGGTTCCAGCAGCAGTGTATCCTATCCAAACTTTGACACGGACAAGCTTCAATCCCAACTCCTAAGGTCTTTTTAAGAACTTCACTCCCGCAAGTAACAACTCTCCTCTGTATCATTTTCTCCCGCTCTACCGGAGCCTTCCTATTAGCAAACAAGCATTCTCTAGCTCTTTCAGCTTAAACAAAAATTGCCTACCCCAAAAGCCCCTCCAGCTACTGCCCCTCTTCTCCCTTTCCACTGCAAAGTTTCTGCAAAATTATGTTTTCAGTTATTCTTTGTATTTTCCTCACTCCCCTTTCTCCCCTCAACCTGCTCCACTGACATCACTCTTACAAAAGTCAGGAATTACTTCTGCGTTATCAAACTGAGTGGCTATTTCTATTTATCTTGACCTTCCAAGTGACATTCAATACAATAGTCCCTCCTTTTTGAAATACTATCTTCTCTTAGCTACCATGACATTGCACTCCTATATCACTGGCGTTTTCTTTTCGATTCTCCTTTGCCAATGGCTCAAGTTCTTCAACTTAACTTCGAAAAGCTCGATTAATCCCAGAGCTCTCCCCTAGTCCACAGAATGGCAGGAAATGCTACCTGGCCACTGAACTCAGTCTCCCCTTCCTAGCAAGAGGGCTGCAGCCTGGCACAAGCTGGCGAGCTTCTCTGCATTTCCCAGAAGCCCCAGGGTTGGCCAGGACCGTCGGACAAGGTTCTCACCAAGAGAAAGTGAGCACAAGTGGTAAGGGCCACTTCCTGGCCAAAGCTTCTCTTTCCTCCATACTCTTTCCCCTGTCACTGGTCAGAAAACTGACAGAGGTAGCTATGATCTGGCTTTGATAAAAAAGACTACGCCCTAAGAGACAGAGGAATAACAAGATAGGAGAAAAATGATCCCTGAATGTGGTGAGACAAAGCCACCTGATGCCCAGGAACTGAACTGTTACACAAGAGAGAAACAGAGGCCTATCTTATTTGAGCCATTATACTTTACGTCTTTTTGTTATGGTAGCTTAGCCTTTCTACGCAACTACTTCATATATCATGTGTATTCCCTAGATGATCTCAAAGAGTCCTGCAAAATGCCTCTAAATCCAGATCCAGAACTCAAGCTCTGGCCTCCCTTCAGAACTACAGACTTGTACGTCCAGCTGCCTCCTTGATCTATCCACATGGACTGTCCCGGAGTTACTGTAAACTCACAACTGCAGAAGGAGAATTCTTGATTCTTCCTACCTGAGCTCTAAGCTTTCCAAAACTTCCCAGTTTTCCTTCACTCCAATCTCTTGAAATTCAAGTCATGCCATCTCTATCTCCAAAACACACCCCTTCGCCCTCCTCTCCCAGTGAACTTCAGCCTTCTTTCCATCCTTGAGTAAACCCAGCTCCTCCTTGCCTCAGGACATTTGCACTACCAGTTTTCTGGAATGTAGTTTCTTTTATTTCTGCAAGGCTGATGCTCTTTCCTCACTGAGACCTCGGCTTAAATACCACCTTCTCAGACAAGCTTTCCCTTCCTATCTGAGCGCAAACTATCACCTGGGGATCTGCTCCCACATCACTGTTTAAACTCCCTGCACAGCACATACTACTAGCTGATATTTTTCTTATTTTTATTCACTTATTCAACAAATATTTACTAAATTTCTAAGTATATCCCAGGCACTGATCTAGACATGGGGATATAGCCATGAACAAAAATCGGCTTCCATCCTAACAAAACACACAGTAAAGCAGACGGTGATAAATGCTGCAGAGAAAAACAAGGCACAGCAAGGGGGCGAGTGCCTGGGCTGCGGACTGCAATCCTAAGCAGGAAGGTCAGAGAAAGCTTCACTAAGATGTCAATTAACCAAAACCTGAAGGAGATAGGGGAACAAAATAGGTGTGTATCTGTGGGAAGAGGCTTCCAGACAGAGAGAAGTGCAAAGGCCCTGAAGGAGGAATGTACTTGACAACAAGGAGGCCAGTATAAATGGAAGACTAATAGGGAAAGAGAGCAGGAGATGAACAAAGAGAAGAAATGCAATATAACAGGCCTGAAATATACCAGAGGGGTCAAGGATGGAGGAAGGGAAACCAAACTGAAGCCCAGGGCTACATAATGCTGCTTCCTCGGTCTACATATAAAACTGGCTTCCTCTTGACATTTAAGATTGGAATGACATCCCCTCAGAGGACTTCCTTAATCACCCAGCTTATGTAGAGATGACTGTCTAGAGCAGGATGGTAAGAAGTGGTTGGATCTGGATATGTTCTGGGGTCGACGACCTGTCGATGGATCAGATCTAGAGCAGGAGAGAGAGGTTCAAGAATGTACTAAGGTTTTAGCCCGAGCAATCCTTTAAGAGGCAAGAAATGCAATTTATTGAGTTGAGAAAAACTGATGAACTGGTTTGGGAAGACTAAATCTGAAGTTAGATTTCAGATACAGTAACCTAAAGATTTATCTACTAGTCGATCTATTAGACAACTACGAGGTAGAGGTATAAAGTGGACCAGCAGTTGGATATACAGTCCGAATTCAGGGCAGAGAATCCAAGCTGGAGATGTGAATTTGGGACTCACCAGCAGATATGTGGTATTTAGAAGTGGTATTTGGAGACTGGATGGGATCTCTAAATAGGACCATCTTCAGTTTCTATTCTTGCCACATCCAGTCTCCAAAAAGCACCTAGAATGATCTTTTTAAAACATAAAATAAGATCAAATCACTCCTCTTCTAAAATTTTAAAGTAATATTGCCTCTGCACTTGGAATAAAACCTAACCGCGAGCCACAAAGCTCTGAATCACCTGACCCTGGTCCTCCTCTCCGGCCCGAGTTGCTCTGGGCTTCTTTTCTTTCCCGAAGGGCTCCAAACTCTTCTTGGCCTCTATGGTACCTCCTGCGTTCCTGCAGCTCTAAGTTTCAGGGTCACCTGCTAAGGCCTTTGACTAACATCAAACCAAAATATGTGTCTTCTCTCTCATAACACTTTACTCAATTTGTAAAGAGAGAGAGAGAGATTTATTGTCTGTCTACCCCAGAAGACAATAAGCTCCATGAGTAGAGGGACTGTGTCTTGTTCGGTGCTCAGCAGTGAGGGCCTAGCACAGTGCCTGGCAAACAGCAGACTTTCAAAAGTATTTAATAAGTAGAGACAACAGTCTATTGTGCAACATGCCATTCGCCCCATTATACACAGAATGTCTTTGCTGTTTTAAAAAACAAACCCCCCCCAACTAACCATTTCAACACTGTCAGACAAATTAAAGGGCTGTTAACTGCACCAAGGTTAAAAATATCGGCTTCATTCATTCACAGCGGTTTTCATTCATTCTGAGAGGTTTCATTCACTCATCACATGGCTTCAGTTACTAAACCTCTGTGTGTACTTAAAAGGAATTCTTTAATTTCTAGAGTTTAATGGGGCCTTTAGGAATTATCTGAGTCTCAGATGAGAGAGGAAAGTGGGTTAACATTTTTCTGTCCCAGGTGACACAGTTAGTAGTAGGGCTGTCACGTGAACCCAAGTCCCTGATTTAGTTTAGTCTTTTTCCCAAAACCCGTTTTTGTCCGGGAGATTTTCTCTGAAGCAACAAGAATTGATACAAGAACCACTATCATCCAAAAAAGACCCACACTCGTTCACTGTGGATAGGTACCCCTACTTAAAAGCCGCCTCTACTTAAAAACTAGGCAGCTATTACTACTGAAAACCAGGAATAGAAGGAGACTGTTTATAAAGTTAGGGTTCCAGTTCGTGGTAAACTTGCTAAGTCATCAAAAGAAGTAGTCGCCTTCATCAAGGAACTTTTAGCCGTAAGTTAAGCAATGTCATTTTAGGAAGAGCAGAATCCCCCTGCTGGAAACTGGAAAAAAAGGGGAAACAGGAAAACAGCACCGGCTGAAGAAAACATTTTTTCACGTGTTGCTTTTACACAGTGACCCCTCGATATTCTCACGAGTCGCAGGAATTCCCTTTTTCTCGTACACACACACGCACAACCGGAAAACTGTCCTGACGAAAAAGGCACTGCCTCGCGCGGGTCGGGGCGCACGAACGCCTCGGGGCAGCGGGCCCAGCGCCCGCCCGCGCGGAGGCCGCGTCCCTCCCGCAGAGCCCGGGCGGGCCGCCGCCCCGAGGCCCCGCCGCCCGCCGCCCCCGGGTCCGGGCCCGGTCGCACCGCCAGCGCCCCTCGCTACCTTTCCGCCGGAAGAAGGACATGGCGGGGCCCGGGTCGGGGCGGAGGGCGCGGGGGGACTGGTGCGGGGAGGGCCCGGCTCCCCTCATTCAGCAACCGACCCGGACTTCCGGGTCCGCAGCGGCCGCCGCGCTAGCCCGAAGAGAGACCCTTCTTCCGGGTGTGGGCCCCGCCGCCTCCTCGCGACACCGCCGCCATATTATCAACAAGCCGCCCGCCCGGAGTTCCGGTCCTTCCCCGCGCGGGGCTTCACGGGAGGCCGCGCAGGCCCCGCCCCCCACCCGCCCACGTGACGCGCGCGCACCGCCTGCGCCTGGCCCGGGGCCCCGCGACTCTCCGGGGCCCCGCGACTTTCCGGTGTCCCGGCGCTGCGGGCGCGGCCCCCCCCCAGGTCAGTCCTCTCCGAGCCGCAGCCCCGCGAGTCGGGGGCCCTGCCTTGGCGCGAGTGTGGTCCGGGCGCCGGCAGTCAGAGGAGCCGCACCCCGCGCTCCCAGCGAGCGGGCCCCGGTGCGGGCCTCGGGATAGGGACTCGGAGCCATCACCCACTTCGTGAGGCTCCGGGGCCCCGCGGTCACCGCGACCTCGGCCGTGGACAAGGAGAGTGGGCTCATTTCAGGACTCGACTCCTGCCAACGCTCAGCTCCGAAAGGACAGCCACATAAAAGCCTCGCCAGGATTTACCAGGCGTACTCCAGTGGGTCATCCTACGAGCCCTGCTCAAATGCTGGTTTCCCATGAACCTCGACCTTCCTCTGCCCCTAAAGCAGAGTGCCGAGCCTCCCACCCCTGGGGCCCCTGATCCCGGGGCTGGGTGACCACTGCAGGCGTGCGCTCCTGCGGGGGAGGAGCCTGAGTTTTTCAAATCAGTGAAGCCCGCCCTGTGACGGACGGAGCAACTGAGGTCCAGAGAGGAGGCGACTGGTCCAAGGTGATTCAGTGTGTCAGTGTTGAGACTGCAGTCGAGGCAGTCACCGGAACCTGGGGTCCTTACAGTATATAATCAGAGCAGATTAATAGATGGGTCTGTTTTGGTTTGGGGGCATGTAAGGCAATCGCACCTGATATGTATTGGAAATTTACTGTGCGCAGGTGCTGTGCCAAACCCTCCAGACTGGTAATAGTCCTTGGAGTTTATCTTGGTATGGGGGAAACCAGGCATAGAAAAATAACCTGCCCAAGGTCGCAACATAACTGGAGGTGGAGCCTGGGTTTCAGACCTAGAGAGTCGTTTCCAGAGCCAAGGTCAAGCCTCTCCCTGGGTGGGGAGAGTATGTTCGGGGCAGGAAGAAGACACTGGCCGCGGCTCTGGACGCCCGAGTATGTCCCTGACCTGAGCAGGTGCGGAGAGTGGACATCTGTCCGACCTTGTCCTCCCCGGCGCAGCAGAGGCTGCAGGGGATCCGCGCCGCGTCCCCGGGGTCAGAAGTGCGCTGGACACCAGCCTGGCGCAGGGGGACCACTGCGATTTGTGCCCGATAAAACCCTGGATCCTGACCCTTCTCCCTGGAAAGGGAGACTGGCTGACATCAAGGACGATCGGGGCTGGTCTCAGTGGGTTCCCTGCTGGGTCAGTGTAAGGCGTAAGGGACATCTAGCCGAGGCCTGAGCGCAGGGCAGCTACACACCGAGTAAGAAACTGGTGACCTCTCTTTCCTTCCGGGTCCAAACACCTAGGCAGGGCTGTTTTCTATTTGTTGACTGGTTTGTTGGTTGGGACGAAAGGAACAGAGGAGTGCAAGAATGCCCCGAAACCTCCGGGACAGGAGAAGTGCACAAGGGTGTGGGGGGAGCGCTCCCGTCGCTGTAAATCTTCCTTTTCTCTCCAACTGCGTAGAATCAACGTAAAAGCAGGGTCCTACAGCGCTGCAGCTCCTCCCAGCAGAAATTCTGGAGCTACCTTTATTCTCAGGACACCTGAATGCCTCCCAGGCAGCTAACAATAGCCGTGGTTATTAAGTACTTATCATGTGCTCTCAAAGTATTAAGTGATTTATAATCACAATCTCACGTAATCGTTTACCTTCTCCACCCCCACCCCAAGCCAGTGTGAGGTGGCTCCCATCATTACCCCCAATTTAGGGATGATGACTACTGAGGCTCAGGTCACTTATCACAGGATCCTAAGGCGTAGAGAGATGATTTCAATCAGGGTCAGTCTGATGCCAAAGCAATTTGCTTATACCACTTCCTCCAGTCTTCCCCTCCACCTCCTGCTAACAGCCATTTATTCCGTGTTTCGGAATGGGATGTCTATTTATTGGACGAGTATAAGGGGATGAATGGTATTTAGCAGTGCGGATGCCTTCTGACTCATCACCCATTAAAGTTTTTATACTCTTAGGGAAGCTTTAAGGGTATTATCATTTAATCTTCTGAAATTTGATGATCCACACATGAATAGAATTAAAATAAAACAAGAATATCAAAATAAACAAGAATATTACATTAGCCTAAATACCCAGTTGTGACTGATACTTTGCATTGCATTTCCAAGTTAATTTCTTAGAGCCACTGTAATTTACATGTAAAACAAATTTAAATTTTGTAAAATTTGAAAGCAAATTTTTACCAGAAGGAATTTCTTTCATTACGTTCCTAATTTTAAGCAAATCCTCACAGTCTTTTTATACTAGTTGTATTAATTACAATAAATCAGTGAGGTAAAATAAGCAAGTTAATTATCATAAAGCCAGTGAATAAAATTAATCTCCTATGACAAACACTGTTTACAAAGCTAATGAACAGTGTCCTATAACAAACATTCATTCTAACGCATGTAGTTTTCTATATCAGACATTCATAACCTCAAGGAAACTATTCAAATAAATCTTTTGATATTATAGGAAAAGGAAGCTGCTTATAACTTTTTAATAAGCAGATAAAAACTAGGATTTATAACAAAATCCAGAATATATATTGATACAACTTAAAATTCTCCTTAACTGTCCAAAGGCTAATTTTTAACCCAGTGTTTTACCTTCTCAAAAGCATTTGTGTCAATAACTTTGTAAAATTTATCTCTAAAAAAACTGTGGCTTCTGATTTTAGTTTTAATCAAACCTGAACCAAAGCAATTTGGCCTTAACATAATTTATTTCTACTGTAGTTTCTATATCGTGACAGCTAAATGGGAGTTTAGATTACATTTTTCCCATCAAAGGAACCCAAAAGTGGTAGTCAGGAGGTTATAACAATAATAATTTCCTAGATTTGCATAACAGAGATTTCTTCTTCTAATAACAGTGGAACAGGTCATTTGGACGAGCCAGCCACCTGCTAAGGAAAGCTGGAAAGGGTGAACAAAACATTAAAAGACACTGAGGCAATAAGAAGATAATGAAGAATTACCTGGTGAAGATAGAGAAGAAAAACAAAGTCCAGTGAATTAAGCCCTGCATTTGGGGCCTCCTGCTCTGGGAGCATCCACTGTTCATGGAAGAGTCTGAGAAGCTGAGTGATGCTTTCGATAGCAACATAGACTAAAGGGAAAAAGTTGGAGCCCAGAGCCTGCTTTGGGCTGGGAGTCTGAGAAAGCTGCACCAGCCCTGCAGGGATCTCAGCCCACCTTCAAGTCATCTGTGTGGCCCAGGAAATCTTAATCCCTAAAGTAAGTCAAGAAAATCCTACTAGCTAGTGTTCCACGAGCCTGATAGAAGCAAGTGAAAATCCTCTTGGAATAAGGTATCAACACCCAAGGTCTCAAATTATTTCCACAAACAATTTTTCAAATATAACATTTGACACACAATCACAGGTATCAGACATGCGGAGACAATGTTTTAGGAGGAAGAGCCAAGAGAAATGGCAAGCGATAGAAATGGGATGGGAGCTCCAAATAGTAGAATTATTGGACATAGATTTTAGCATAACTCTGCTTACTGTGGTCAAGGATATAAAAAACAAGACTGGAAATTTGGGCAGAGAACTGGAAACTACAAAAACTGACAGAGCATATGTGAAAAAGAAGCAACTAGAAATTCTAGAACTGAAAAACAAAATAACTGAAACTAATAACCAAGTAGACGGGTCTGTAAGCAGAGTTACAGCTAAAGAGAGAACTTGTGAAATGGAAGACAGTTCAGAAGAAAATATCCAGAATGAAGGGAGGGTTAGAGACGTAGAGAATATAGTGAGAAGGTTTACCATGTGTTTCATCAAAGCCCCAGGAGAAGAGAGACAATGTAGCAGAGGAAGTATTTGAAAAATTAATGGCTGACAGTTTTCCTGAAGTGATGACAAAAACCAGCCTATCCATTCAAGAGTCACTATGAACTCCATACAAAATAAAGAAAAAAATCCACACCTAGGTTATGAATAATGATACTTAAAGAAACAAAAAAACAAATAAAAATTATTAAACCTAGCTGAGGGTAGGAGAAATAGATTACCTTCAAAGGAATGACACTTTGGCAGCTGATTTTTTCAACAGTTATGATGGAAGCCAGAGGACTGTGGAATTATATCTTCAGTGTGCTAGAAAAAGTAACCACCAACCTGGCATCCTTTACCCATCAAACATATATGTCAAAGGTGACACAAAATTAGACATTTTCAGACAAAATCAGAAAAAAATTTTCACCAGCAGAACTTACTAAAGGATACTCTTAACAAATTTGTTTCATGCTATTCACACCAGCCAAGACATTGATCATAGCCAAGATAAGACATATTTACAAGATGGGCAAGCAACTAAATGTCCATCAAAAGATGACTGGATAAAGAAGACGTGCTGTATATACAATGGAATAGTACTCAGGCATAAAAAGGATGAAATAATGCCATTTGCAGCAACATGGATAGACCTAAAGATTATCATACTAAGTTAAGTAAGTCAGACAGAGAAAAATAAATATCGTATGATATCACTTACATGTGGAATCTTAAAAAAAATGACAAATGAACTTATTTACAAAGCAGAAAGAGATTCACAGATATAGAAACAAACTTGTGGTTGCCAAAGGGGAAAGAGCTGGGGCGGGGTGGGTAGGGATAAATTGGGAGTTTGGGATTAGCAGATACAAACTACTATAAACAGAACAGATGAACCACAGGTTCCTACTGTACAGCACAGGGAACTGCATTCAATAGTTTGTAATAACCTATTATGAAAAAATATATATGTGGAACCGAATCACTATGCTGTACACCAAAAGCCAACATGACATTGTAAGTCAACTATACCTCAATAAAAATAAAGACAGCAAAAAAAGAATTTGCTTCAGGCAGAAGGAAAGTAACA